AGATTGCAGGTAGGAGATTAGTAAAACTTAAGAACAAATAGCCCAGTCATCAAGTAAAGAGTTATGGGACAAGCATTTAAACTTTGGTAATAATTTTCCAGTCATCCCACCACCACCACCACAACATATACACATACCATACATACATACGTACTGCAGGTTTTTCTTTCAAATCTATCTCAGTCTTGCATCTAATGGCCCACATTAATTTATGTATTTGTCAAAACTGTTAATCAACCAACTCTTTATATCCCAAATCAAGAAGGCTGAATGCTTCTTCAGAGTCTCAAAGGATATTCTCATTGTAAAAACTGTTAAACGTGTATACCTAAAAGATTCACTTAAATGTACTAATAGAAAAGTTAGCTTGTCTTTTAGATTCTGAGATACATAATGGGGCCCCACATTTTACAGCCTACACAAAATATTAAAAAAGACTTTAGCACCCAGAGGCTACACATGGTTGATGAAGCTCCTAAAATATATTTTCAAAAACTTAGACACTTAGATAATATACTACACATATTACCCATATATAGTACGTGCACATGTTGAGCACCCCAAATCCAAACAACTTCAAAATCTGAAACCTGTTGAGCACCACTATGATATCATTTTAGAGAATTGCATACCTGATCTCATGTGCCTGACTGCAGTCACAAAGCAAGAACACTACAAATATACAGAGGTACCTTTAGGCTACTGATAGAAGGTATACCTGAAACTACTAGATTTTGTACTTAGTCTTGGGTCTCATCCCCAAGCTATCACATTATGCATATCCAAAAACTCCAAAATCCAAAAGAATCCAAACTCCAAACCACTTCTGGTCTCAAGCATTTAGGATGAAAGATAGTCAACCTTTATGATACACCCATGTTTGATATACTGTGGTACAAAATATATACTATATACAATGTGATGTCATAATATAAGCCTATCAGGCTTTTAAACTTGAAAATGAATTAAAGTTTAAAATGTACAGTATTAATATTACTTAAGCATCACTTAGTAAAATGATAAATTATATACTTATCATTAAATCAGAAAGTAGTAGATATACAATATGAGAAAGTCTGTTATAAAATATAAAATTAGAATTAAAAATAGACACTTAAGACCCAAAGATCATTAGTTTGAAAGGATTTTTGTTGTTCCATGGGTGTTTGACCTACCAGCTAATTTTTTTCCAGCGTCCTCAATCTGTGCAGAAATAGTGTCAAAAATTAATAATAAGGAGTAAAATGACACTACAACTGTTAAGAAAATAATGTGCAATTAAGGAAGTGAATCAGGTACAAAATATAACACTACTCTCAGTCCCAGGCTCTAACCTTGTCACCGTTTAACTATGCTCTCTTCTATTTAATCTCACTTTTCAATTTCTCTAGCCAGGCAGATGACCATGTAAAGTGAAACTGTATACCAAGAGTTTTACAGATGTTATCAGTCAATTTATGCAAATTGAAGGAGAAAATATTAGTTGTCTTTTTAATAAGATAAAGCAAAAGACAAATAGTCATGTAATTGTACCACACATCTCTAAATTAATACTTCAATACTGCTCATTTTCTATAGAAAAAATGTGTGTGTGTGTGTGTGTGTGTGTGTGTGTGTGTCTGTGTGCAGACAGCATAATATAAAAGCAAACTAATTCATTCTCTGGGATCTGTTTCGTGCTTCAAAAGAATTTCTCAGTCTATATATTCAAGGTTCCTTTGCCAGCACAAATTAACAGACTTTCAAAGTGAACTCAATTACTGTTAGTTTTTTCACTCTCCTTAAAATAATAATCAGGCACACGAATTAACATAATTCATATATATTTATAAACAACCAGGCTTTAATGTTCTATGCTTCTGAAGTAAAAAAATAAGAAAACATAAATAAAAACTTGGGTCAATACTTTCAAACAAAGGATTAAAACATCTTTATTCATACATTGTTACACACAAAAAAGCAAGACTATATTTTCTCATTTAAACTAGAAGTTAAAAAATTCTTTACTTTTATAATTCAGTAATTATGGCACATTGCTCTAAAAGATTTTTGCTGAACTGCCATTAAAAAATTTCAAGTACAATCTTGTCTGCTATATAATTAAAGAAAAACTATAAATTACAAATACCCATAATAATGTAAAGACGTGTTTCTCAGCATCTCTTTTACTTATCTCTGTATACTTCAGGTACTCACCCCTGCTGAAATCAACAGAACTGGTAGCTAATATGTCCAAAGACCTAAATTAGGATGCTCTATGTTAGTATTTAGAGAGCTCTTGAACAAACTGGATGGAAAATCTCTGACACATCTTAAAACAAATGAAGGACTCAGAAAAATCAAGAAAACTTTCTGCTGTAAAATTCCACAAGCCTCCAGCTTACATGGTAAAGTGTAACTGATTTCAAACTTAAAACATCCATTTGCCTCCCTCCTTTTCTCCTTCTTCCCTCCCCCTTCCTCTCCCTGTTCCCTCTCCTCTTCTCCCGCCCCCTCCCCTTACCCCCCCTCCCCGCTTATCTTCCCTCACCCTTCCTCACAGTTTATGTCTTCCTAAGGCTCTTCAAGAAAACCTGAAACAAAAGACTTCCTCCCACCTCCTTAAGGCTACACTAACTAACACACTTTGCCATTCCTACTGCCAAAAAGCAAAGAGATCCCGCTACCATGTGATGGACATTCAGTCCTCCTAATCTTGCTTTTGCCTGGGGTAATGTATGCTGAAACTGGTAATCAGGGATGGACAGAGAGACAGCTGAACTGAAAAGATCTTCTGCCTAGTCCCACTACCCCAGTATATATTCTGTGTGTATATAACTCTCAAATTTACATCTAAATGTCTTACTCATAACTTTAAAAAGAATCAAAGTGAGATCTGTACCCTGTCTTCCCCAAGCAAACTTTTCAAACTTCTCTTTTAGAGGCAGAGGAGCGACCAGCCTAAGTACAAAAGGGAAAGATTTCCCTTATAAACCAGTCACCAGGGCTGATAATTTTCTCTTTCTCCTATTTCTTCAGGTGTCTCCCCCAGAGCTTGGCTCAGGTTCTAACCAGCTCTGGATTGAATGCCAGCTTTCTTTCTGCGATAACATTTCTGGCATTCTAAGACATCCCCCACACGGCAAGTTGTCTTTCAAGATGGCCTTGGTAAGGTATGATATCTCTATGAGAAGCTTACTGAGGCTTCCAGTAATTTGAGTTAAATCACAAGGCCTTTCCATAAAACTTTCCCTGGGTATCCCACTCACCACCCCGAGCCTGCTGCACCCCATAGGTACTAGCTGGCCTTCTTGTGCTTTCCAGTTATTGTCCATGGAGTGAGTATCTCCCTCAGTAGCAACTGAGACAGCTAGAATCCACTCTCCAGCCAAACCCCCACCCCAAACCTCTTGAATCACGCATGTTTCTTTGCATCCTAAACTCCATGTAGGATGTGTGTGTTTTAAAGTCTGTCTACATTAATTTGACCTAATAAGAATACTTTCTGTCACTACACCATTTCCTTTAGAATTTATATAAAATTTGACAGAACTGCGTTCACTTTGGACAACTCCTTTATACACTGTGTGTGTGTTTAATGAGTACTGTTTAACAAGTCTGTATCCAGACAGAAATTGTTGTAGCTTGTAATGTTGAAAGTAAGGCTTTCAAAACCGAGTGCCTAGGAGTCTGCCCTTGTTGACCCATAATAGGCATTCCACAATATTAATGAGGACAAATCGGATGTGACTTGTGCCAGCTTAGCCAAAATTGGCCACTTTCATGGAAGTTGCAAACGAAAGTTATATGTAAAATAATTAGATCAACAAAAAATTCCTGGCGCTCAGTTACCCTCGTGTGGCCTCCAGAGCTTTCACAACCTCCTAGATTAGTGATTTTTCCCTGGGGCTCTTCCTAATATTCCTGTACTCAGTGTCACATTTCGAAAGCCTGGAAGTTTAGCAAATCCAAGTCCAAACAGTGTAAAGAAAAAAATTCATGACTATTCAAGTGATCATTAAAAGGTGAGTACTAATCAGCCTTCCACTGCAGAAATGCAGCACCTCAGAGACCTCAGTCTCCTCCTCCAAAGCTCTGCCTTTCTGGACTAAGCCCACTAGCGCCACAGGCCCCTCTCCCCGGCACTCTCTCACCCGCGTCTCTGCAATCTCTCTGGATGGCTATGGAGATAAGCTGAAATTGCACCAACAGTGTTGAGAGGACAGATCCCTCGTGGGTTGGCCTTCCCCAGTATAATAACCTTTTTCCAACCTGCCTTCGGTGGCCACTGCGCAGCGTCCCACAGCCTCGAACTTACAAGCAGAGCCAGCATCTAACTGCTCCTGGACATCACCTCATGACTTCAGTCTCGCGCTCCCAGAGTCCCGGGAGTGCAAAAACAGGAAGGCAGGCTGTTAACTTTCAGGTTTTATTGTTGGAAAATTTGTTTCCATCCTCACAAAGAGACGGTAATAAAGAATGGCAAGGACCTGAGATAAGTGCGGTCTGCTTGGCTGTTTTTACAGCTGGCTCAGTCAATCGCTCTTTTTGAAAAGCTTAATTGACAGGTGAGAAATTCCTGGTCTCTAGTCATTCCAGGAACTCCAGAGCATCCATCTAAGCTGGGACAGCGTGCTGCCGGGGAAGGGAGTGGTGCTGGCCTCGTCCCGGGGGAACTCCGGTGCGGGAAAGAGGATGCTGGCGCCAGGAAAACGCTGGTCCAGGGTCCAGAGGGCAGGGGGCGGGGGAGCCGGGAAGCGCCAGGGATGAGAAGCGGCCCGAGGAGAAGGGGGCAAGATGCCTGACGTCAGGGCAGGGATGGAAACGAGTGAAGAGGGCGCAGGCTGGAGAGAAACCCGGGTGGGCGAGGGCAGCGAGCGGCAGGGAGGACAAGCCCCGGGGTGGGCGGGAGGACTGGGCCAGGCGTCCGCCCCGGCGCTCCGGACCCCTCCGCAGGCGCGGCCGCGGGAGCGGGAAAGTTGGCGCGGCCCGGGGGGCGGGCGCAGCGCCCCCGCGCTTACCTTCTGGTCCACGATGGAGCAAGCCATCTCGCGGACGTGCGCCAGGCTGTAGTCGCCGGCCGAGTCCTGCAGCAGGAGCACCGGCTCGCGGCTCAGGCCGATCTGCAGATGGAAGGAGACGCCCCCCGCCGGGGCCGCGCCGGGAGCCAGGAGCGGCGCGGGTCCCGGGCCGGACCCCGGCACCAGC